AGTGTGTTTATTTTTGATATTTTTTTCTTTTTTTTTTTTTTTTATTTATTTCTTGGGATTAGTAGGTAATTTAGAGACATGCCTTTTATTTTTAAAGGCATGCGCTCACTCTTTTTTGATGTTAGAATATTCAGATTCCTAAATCCATCATTCTGTTTTCCCCAAGAATAACAGATCTAAAGTATAACAGGTCTAAAGTACTACATGCCCCCAGAAATGCTCACTGACATGTAGTATAAACTGTCAAGTGTCTTTATCAGAACCACTGTGTCCCCTGGGGCCCAGCAGCACCCAGTCCCCCACATGTGAAAGCGGCCTCTGATTCCCGCCATCAGCTACCTCTCATCGCTCCACCTCCACCGTCATGCTCCAGGGTCACCCTGGCCAGCTCTTGTGCTGGGACAGGGGATTACACCATCTCTGTTCAAAGAGGGGGAAATGTGCCTATGCCTTAAGTCAATGCACTCAGCAAGGAGAAGCACATCCTATTTATCTTGTTGTTACCTGTAGTTTATTTTGGGTGATTGGAGGGGAATGGTTTAGCAATGACTGGGCATTTTAAAAGAAGATGTCAGACAAGTCAAGTGGCTGACAGATGTGGACTGTAAGGAGACGAGAATGGAGACAACTGGCTTAGACGGTCCTGAATGCCGCTTGGCAAGGAGTGGCCCCACATTATAAATGAAGTAGTATTTGTAAGCCCGAATGGCAATTTTTTTTTTTTTTTCCCCTCAACAAGGTTCTTATTTTTCCTTACTTCACAAGCAAGGGAAGATTTGTCATAGGAGATAAGAGGTCTGGTATCTTTGAGTAGACACTCAAGCATCAGGCTGAGGTTTGCACACATGGGATGTAAAAGCAAACTGTGTGTTGCTTATTCACCTAGGAGGAGGAGGAGGAGGAGGAGGAGGAGGTATGGTTCTAGCCTGGCCATAGCCCTGCTGGCTCCCAGATCCCAGGTGCCCCTTAGTCATTCGTGCTCAATATCCCATGTAGAAGAAGAATTGGGTTGTTCAAGAGTGAGAGCATAAGATTGCTTCGTTTACAGCACTGGACTCTAAACAAGAAAACTACAAAAAGCTATCAAGTTGCTCTGCTCAGTATTATTTACGTCCTGTAGGATCATGCTGCCAGAATCTGCATGTACCACACACAGGGTTTTGCCCTGCCAGGAAAGGCCCTCCTTGGCTACTGGGAGCATCTACCCCATATTATTCAGATAAACAGTAGTAGCTATGAGGTCCTTTGTGGCTAAATACCTTAAGACAAAAGTTTTTTTTTAAGCAGACAGACCATCTTTGCATTTTGCCATCTTAAGTACACAATGTATGGATGACAAGAAAATGAAAGTGTCTTTGAACCTCTTTCCTCTGATTTTGTTTAATTATTAAAGTCTGAGATCAGCACCTCGGGAATTTTACACCAATAAAAAGACTGGTGTGATCCCACTTGCAAAATTTTATCCTAAAGGTAATCAGATCAGAAATAAAATAAAAATAGCAATGACAGCCAAGAACAGAAATCAAGCAACTATGGGGGACAGAAATGATATAGAATCCTGATTTTCATTTGTGCTAAGTGACCACAATATACCAAGTAACGAGCAGGAACTTTGGCATGGATTAAATTATGTAGTTTACGTCAGACTTTACAATTTGGTAAAATGCATTCTAAGTTCTTCAAGGTACATTTTTTTCCTCGACTTCCTCCAACCAGAATATTTGTCCATAGTCATGAAAGAAAGTTTTACCTGAATTCTGGGGGGAGGGGGGATCTTTTACATTAAAATCAACCTTTAATTTTAAAAAATGAGATTCCTTCTAATCTTTATATATAATATCTTCTAGACAATCATGCCTTTCGGTGTATTGAGCAGTGGTGGCATATCAAGCAGAGAGCAAATAAATCTTTAATATTCTAGAAGTTCTAGTATATTAATACTCTTCAAAAGTTTTATAAATTAAAAATTGACTCCAAGTAGGTTTAGCACTTAGTTCTGTTTGATATCTGCTCAATAAGTCATAAAATTTCAATCTTGGAAAACTACTAGAGTATGATGGAGATTTTCAAAAGCCCTTATGATGGCAGCTGTCTAGATGGAAACTTGATTTGAGGCTTTTTAACTGTTATGTTACCCAAAGAATAGACCTTATAAACTTGAATTGGTTTTAACTTCCTTAACATCAATTTTCCTTTGGATAATTTTCATCATCTATCCAGCAACCACAGACCAAAGATTGCTCGAAGCTTGATTTTAGAGCAGGGGTCAGCAAGTTGTGGTCCCTAAGCCAAACCTGGCTCATCACCTGTTTTTGTAAACAGAGTTTTATTGTAACACGGCCACATGCCACCATGTACATGTTGTCTCTGGCTGATTTCCTACTCTAACGGCAGGGTTGAGTAGCTGTCCTCGAGACGTCAGGGCCCACAAAGCATAAAACACTAATGGGCCTTTATGGAAAAAGTTTGCTGGTGCCTGATGTGGTGATCATTTATGGTACATGTTGGACACAGCAGCATAGAAAGCAGACTTCATGATAGCATGGAGTAAGCCTACACTGCCACGTGTGTTAGAAATACCAATACTTGGCTATAGAAAAAAAGGTCGGCCGTATGCTGCGTGGAAATACGTGATGCACTTGGCTATGAATGCAGGCTCACAGGACCCTGGGGACAGGGAAGCTGGAATGAGGGGAGGGCTTAATGAAATGGAAAGGTGTGATCCTCCAGGAGTTTTTCTTTACCATCCCTAAAGGATAGGTGGCTCCTCCAGTCAGCATTTGATGTGACGAGAAGTGAGGCAGGGGTCCTATGATTTAAATTTAGATTCTCTTCTCTGAAGAGCCTGTTTCTGCAATCTCCACCTCAGCTGCCCATATTCCAAAAAGATGCCCATTCCATGGTCCTCCAGAAAATATTTTTGACTTAATGTGTCTATTTGGTATTTATCACCTCAGCTATTCACACCTCCAGTGTATTTACTCTCCTATGACCGCATCAGGCCTGAAGGGTCAATAGAATCAATAAATAATTAGAAATATGGGAAGCAGCATCTTAAAATATGTAGGAGGAAAAGATAAAGTAAAACTCTTTGATGAAGCTGTTGCTGCGAGGAATCGGATTGACTTGTTCGATTTTGTTCCCAAGGCCCTGGGTCTTTGTTTTTTGGTACAGCCGGAATGCGAAAAAGACCGAATTTTGAATTCTGTGTCCGCCTCTGTATGGTGAGGCAGGTTCCCGCCAGACATTTGTCCCCTCAGTCATCATCCCTCTTGCTAATCCAGGGCTTTATTCTCATATTCTATATTGTTAAAATGGCATCAGTGTGAATGATTCTTTGTAGATATGAGTATTCATGTCAGGGAGGAAACACGGGGTGTTTTTTGTTTTTGTTCTGTTTTTTTTTTAATGAAAGCAACCACCATTTATCAGACCCTAATCAACGTCGCTTAAGGAGCCCTGCGGCATTTTATCTGGGTTCAAACAAAAGAAGATTCAGTAGGCAGCACTGCCCTTCACAGGAGCAACTACATGAGAATATCTTGCTTCTGTTTATTTTAGGAAGAAGGTAGCATGATGCTTGGACAAAAGAGATAAACAGATTCACGTAAGCGCCTGATCCTTACTCTAAGGCTCTATGACAGGTGAAACTCTCATTTAAGTGAGTTGTAAACAAGACCCATTTTCTAGCTTCCCCTGCACCAGGAAATCTTAGGCACGAAAAGGATAACAAAGCAGTTCCTGGGATGACACATTTGCATGGTGCCCCAGTAGCAGGTAGGGAAAAAAGTTATAATAAAAGGAACAACCTTAGAAAACAGGCCTTTTATCTCAAAGATAAAATGTCTCTCTTTTGGTCTTTCATCACTTTCTCCTTGGTGAAAAGTTCGCCCATTTCCAACATATTTCCATTAAAATAGTCGAAGCCACTGCATTGGGATGTCAGATGCATTTCTTTCTTCGTGGTAATCGGAATTTAAAATTATACAGTTGCCTCTGAATTTCTCATTCACAAAGCTAAACCACTCGATAAGAGATAAAGCAGTCTGAAGCCTGCTGCTTCCCCAGCATAGCACACCACCCGCATTAGCTTTTTCAAAAGCAATGTGATTTCTGTGGTTCTTATAAGCTTTCTTCAATAACGGAGTCCTTGAAATTTCTCAAGGCAGATCTGAATGGCGAAGTTAAAATAATTACTTGCGGGAGGTCCTCATTTTGCATGTTGTTAGAGCACAAGCGTGAAAGAAAATAGCCCATTTCGGGTGACCCATGCTCACACATGCTGTTTTGTTTTACCCCTTTTCCTTTTATAGATGC